TACACATTACCATCTTTGATAACATTACCATCCTATACATTACCATCCTAGGTAACATTACCATCCTATACATTACCATCCTATACATTACCATCCTACATGACATTACCGTCCTACACATTACCATCTTTGATAACATTACCATTCTATACATTACCATCCTAGATAACATTACCATCCAATACATTACCATCCTAGATAACATTACCATCCTATACATTACCATTCTACGTAACATTAGCGTCCTATACATTACCAACATATACATTACCATCCTAGGTAACATTACCATCTTATACATTACCATCCTACATAACACTACCGTCCTATACATTACCATCATAGATGATATTACCATCCTATACATTACCATCTTAGATAACATTACCATCCAATACATTACCATCCTACGTAACATTACCATCTTATACATTACCATCCCACGTAACATTACCGTCCTATACCTTACCATCTATACATTACCAACATATACATTACCATCCTAGGTAACATTACTATCCTATACATTACCATCCTACGTAACATTACCGTCCTATACATTACCATCATAGATGATATTACCATCCTATGATACATTACTATTCTATACATCACTATCCTAGGTAACATTACCACAGATACTGTGTGGTTCCACTACATCATCCTGCAATCAAGAACAAGCGCTGCCAGGAACAATATCCCGTTTTAGTTAAAATCCTGCTACAATCTGCTCTGACCACATCATTTGATGCAGTAAATGAAACCTCGGAACGAAGCATACAGACGACTGTTGGGGTGGGGGTGGGGGGTACTTGAATTTGCACGGATGCTTCTGAGGTCGTCATGTATGTAAATAGAAAGCAATTTACCACCACCAAATCTATGTTACTGTATTTAATATTCTGCAAAAAATATGTTATGAGATCTTTTTGGTGACAGATGCTCACGCTAGTGCTAGCGCCCTACTGGAGATCGCTTTAACGTCTGACATTTACTGACATCGACTTTCCATTCTCTTGGAGCTGGCAAACACCACAGGAGCAAGAGGTTGAAACATCTGACACTATTAAAGTCAACGCACGATATTTGCCAAAACAACATTTTTTGCAATGCAACGACAAAAATTACTATCCTTAACTCATAACCGAATTAACGTATGACACGAGAAATCAAACGCGATTTTGTTGCATTTTTACTCGACAGAATAATGTAGACTATTTAAAAAGAATCTAATCGTAGTTCCCGTTTCTATGATCATGCTTGGTGAAAAAAAACAGTGAAATGTTAACATGCATTTTCATCCATCTTATAGTAACTACTAATGAAAATGCCAAAATGTAATAAAAATTTCTTGAACGCCTTCAAATTAATGAAAAACGGTTACAGAGTGCCTGCTGCGAACAGAGACTGCATCGCCACAGTTAGTAGTCTGTATCACAAAGCTACTTGTAGCCCGCGCCGTAACCAACAATGAGGTGTTACAAATGTGTGAGGCGATACAAAACATGTAAACAATGAGGTGATGGATGAGAAGCAGGAAAGGTATCACAGGAGATCAGGGCAGGCAACCCGCGTGGGAGGGGAAGCTAACCGCCACGTCATGCATCAGCTGTATAGGAATTCACAGAAGGCTATGCAGCGAAAAATCAGCAGCCAACTGCAGCACTGTCACACTACAGCAACTCCGGCGTTTTTCCCGCAGAGGGGAACGGTGCAGATAATGCCGGGTCTGCTAAATTGTTCTCGACTAATTGAGGCTTAAAACACAGATTACCGCTCGTCTGTCAAATGTATGCATCCGTTTCGTGGTTGTAATCAGTTCGTGGCTTCCAATTTCCATTCATTTTTGCGGTCGCATGCAGAGACGCTCAGCATGTTTACATTTCGTCAGGCTGCTCGCAAAAATCGAGACACATTATATCGGCAAACTAATGCTTGCGTCGCATAATTGCGTGCTCCGCCAGTAAGGTGTCCTTCAGCCCAGTAACAATTTCTAATCACGCGATATCCTTTGTTTTTCCTTTTTCAGTGCACATTAAAATTGTTCAACATTTCGAAAAAATCAATTATGCAAACAAAATGACAAGTGTTCTTCCAATTCCACGTCAGGACCTACACCCTGTTTATTGCATAATTAAATGTAGAAAATTACTAAGCTTATTTGTAAATGAAACTACATACTACCAACTTTAACATAGTATTTTTATTGTTCAATTGTCAACTTATTTACTTTGCATTTGATAATAAATCATGATTATTAGTTTGTGTAATTTTTATTGTTATTGCCAACAAATTTTAAATCTTAAAAAGCAAAAAACTGTTTTATGGATAGAGTATTATCACGTATACGCACATGTGTCTACGCATACCCAAATACACGCATGCGCACACACACACGCACGCACGCACGCACGCACGCACGCACGCACGCACGCACGCACGCACACACACACACACACACACACATATATATAGCATTATTTGCATAAAAATTTGGGAATGAACACCAATTTTTGATTTCCTTCCATTTCTCTCAGATTATTATTAGCTGTGATTTTTAGGCGCATACAGGAATATTGTTTTTTGTAACATTTCTGATGCAACACAGTACATATGTCAAGGTTTTGCTAGATTGCTGTGCTGTGGCTGAGTACAAATCCCTTTAGGTTTCACTTTCTGTCCATGTACCACAAATTAAAGGCAGGTAATATTTCTGCAGCTCTAGTAGGTACTACTGTACACTTAAATAAATACCACATAGCTGAGGAAGAAAGCATTTCCTGTACCTGATAACTAATCGGTAAGGATACATTTTGTAATTCCTAACGACAGTGGACAAATCGAGTATACCTTCAAAAATAATACAGTGAGAATGGCAGTGACGAGTTCCTAATATTCTGTGACATCAAGAATCTACGTCACCAATCTATAAAGATTTAAACAGTCATCTGTCTCTGCACAGTCCTCTGAGACACGTCAAAGTTGATAACATTTCGTGCTTACGTTTACAAATAGAGCACCGTACCTTCACAGCAATGTATATTTATGTGTATATAATCTAAGCATCTTCACGCAGGTTTGCCCACAAGCGCTTAGAAAGTGTCAAAGTGAAGCTACTACAAATGCACGTCTTTTAATGGGGGAGGCATGCTGCAGTGCTGAGAAAAAGGCTTAAGTTGGTGAACTGGATGCGTTTCATTGCAATAATAATAGCAAATGTACTCGAACTTATATCTCTAGCTATCAAACCCATTTAAATACCGCTTTAACTATGACTAATAGCGTAGAATCAGTACGCGTGCGTGGCCTCAGGTGAGAATAACAAAAGCGATTTTGTCATACAAAATGCCTCCAGTTTTCGACTGCAAATGCATACACCTAAACACTGGGCAACCGTAGATTTTATCATCGCCCGCGCTTCTTTCTCGCCGCTGCTCTTACTTCTTAACCTGCTCTTACTTCTTAACGGAAGCAATTAGCGATCCGCGTCTGTGGGGCTGTCCCCGACAGCCTGGCATTTTCGCGTGCGCGGCATGCCGAACAGGTGAGTAAGCGCGCTGACGGGGGTATAGCCAGCAGGACGCTACAATGCACGCGAGAGCGCACAATAACAACAGCACTCACCTGCAGCGCTCCGTCGGCTCAGGGCGACCATCATGACAACGACCCGCAGCAGTCGCACGCTCCATGCGTCCGCCCGCTCCATTCCACTCGGCGCCGCTTCTGCGTGCATGTGCGAGGGTGGACGCGGATGCTTGCCTGCGTGTATGCCGACCAGCCCTCCCTCTCTCTCTCTCTCTCTCGCTCACTCAATACTGCCGACGTGACGTCTGTTCCTGCGTGGGGCTGGCGGAGATCAGAGCCGAGCGTTTAGACAGGAGACTCGTGCGTGAACGTGCATCCCTCTCGGCGCTGGATAGATAGACGGGCAGACGGAACAGATGTTAAGACGCGCGCAGGACGATGGATTCACGCGTCAGCGTCCCGCTGCCCACGTGCATGGCATAGCTGCGCGTGTGACTGGTATGATGCGCGTATGACGCAGGAGACAGCGTGCTCGGCTCGCAGACAATCCAAGAGAATCTTCAATACGATGACGGTGCTTAGAACATGGTAGAGGAAGCAGATTCACCTATTTCTATTACTATACATACATATGAGCTTTTTAGAGCGTAGGCGCTGAATAAATATATACCGCTATTAAATGAGATTACAGTGCATAATAGAGCTGCCAGTGAAAACGATTACGCACTAAAAGCTCACTCCTCCTGACGCATACAATAAGCAGCGATACACTAAAAGTATAGAAGTGAACTTTGGTTTTTAATATTGTAGTTTGAACAAGTCTTTGGTGGATAATGAACATACACCTACTAGCTACCTAACCCATGCGCCATTGCACCATTTTGACAAATAAGTACTAACGAATATATTCTACAAAGTGTGCTCCTGTAAAACATGCAACATTCACATAATACATTAATAGGGAATATTACCAGGTAAAGCTTATTAGAACTTGGCAGTCATCTGTATATGACAGGGTTCTCCCCAGAAAATTGAGAAGGCATGCCGTTTATTGATGGATGAGAGAGAGAGCCTAAGATGGTTTGTACTAATTGGAGTCCATTTATACACGTGTCATAATTAAGCGGCTCTAATATACAGGTATGTAACAGGTAACTCAATCAGTTCAGAGATGTATACATCAAGCTGTGAAAACACAGCATGAATCTGTTGCGATCGTTAAAAGTAAACACGGCTAGAAATTAAGGCCCGCCGATTAGGCAATTAAGGCATGTCGGAGGATATATGGGATGTCACAGATTAGCTGTCGATTTTAATGAAAGCATGTCAGACCTGACATGCGTTAAAGGTCTGGAAAGGACCCTACATGTCATATTGAGTTTAAAGCCCGGCGCACACGTGAGTTATTTTACTCAAGTAAAATGACGCATGAGTCAAATTACTCAACGAAAATCCGCCGCACACGTGAGTAAAATGACTCATGCGTCATTTTACTTGAGTAAAATAACTCACGTGTGCGCCGGGCTTAAAGTACACAGCCCTTACACCTACTAGACTGCTGAAGATTATTGTAAGCAGCTTTGAAGTTCAGTTCGTTCGGCAGTGTCATATGAGGGATAGCAAAACTATCCACTCAGTTCCGATTCTTCTATGACAAGAATTAGGGAAAATATTCATTACTGCTACACTGTAATTATAGGAATCTGCCAAAGAACCATTTATCAACACCGGAACAAGTTAGGTGAAGCGATGGTCAAGTCGGAGAGCTACGGTGGTTATTCGCACAATGGGCGATTACAAACCAGGAGTACTGTGCTTAGTACTGAAACAAGAAGAAGTTACCATTACACATAGCTAACGAGTACAAAACACTCAATGATTTGAGTATTGAGTAATAGTGGCATAAGCTGATGTCTATAAAAATGTTGGAAAAATTTTGTCAAATTTCCCTACTCTTCTGTGGGCTCATGCACTGTTAAATTTCTCACTCTCCAAATCACAGTATTATTTATGCACTTGTGAAGAAACTGCTTTGGCTTTGTACTCTGCATTTCTGTAGTCTCTGAATTAGTATCATTAATACTAATAGTCAGCAGGTTCACTCCACTCACCTATGGCAACAATTGCTTTAGGAGCATGAATTACTGACCGTAGCTTGGCACCAATTTAGTGCTGGCTAATTAACAGAAGTTTGGTAACTGCAGACCCTTGGTGCAAGGGTGGCACTAGAGATAGCTGGGGGGGCAAAGCCTATTTAAAACTAGCAGATACTTTTTCTTGTTTTTTCTTCTGTGCGACTCTTGGTGGTTTACCGGAAATGGCTCATGGAACTAGTTTTTGGCCATAACCCACTAATGTAATAAGCAGTGTTTTACCAGTATCCCCTTAAAAATCTGGCAAGACTTGTCAATTTGGCATACCAAATTCAGGGAATTGAACAGTTTGGAATTGCACGATCATGATGCCAATTACCTCTATGGCCCAGTTACTTAACTGCAAATGGTGCAAAGTGTTGTGGTAACCATCACCATGCAGGCAATTATGATACTTATAACATTAAAAATAGTTCACTCTTTCATGTTTTCAATAATACAACTGCTGCAGGTTCTGTGGAAATAATGTGCTATTGGTATTTATCAAAAAACATGCATTATACCAGCTCTATGACAGTATACTTGATATTTCTAACAGGTGCCAGCAACTTAATTTTCATCACCTTGTCGCCAACTACATGTATCCCCCGTGTTCTCCCCAAGATGTGTAAGTATACGAAATTTGGTCATGCTAGGTCAATTAGGGGCCGAGTTATAGAGCGGAAGGAAAATATGATGAAGGTCAAGGTCAATGTCAATGTCAAATAAAGGTCGTAGTTACTTGGTTTTGGTAGCACTAGGTCAATTAGGGGCCGAGTTAGAGAGCGGAAGGAAAATATGATCAAGGTCAAAGTAAAGGTCAAATAAAGGTCGCAGTGACCTGGTTTTGGTAGCGCTAGGTCAATTAGGGGCCGAGTTAGAGAGTGGAAGGGAAATATGATCAAGGTCAAAGTAAAGGTCAAATAAAGGTCGCAGTGACCTGGTTTTGGTACGCTGCTCACCTTCTCCCCAAGATGTGTAAGTATACCAAGTTTGGTAGCGCTAGGTCAATTAGGGGCCGAGTTATAAGCAGAAAGGAAATATGATCAAGGTCAAAGTAAAGGTCAAATAAAGGTCGCAGTGACCTGGTTTTGGTACGCTGCTCACCCTCTCCCTAAGATGTGTAAGTATACCAAGTTTGGTCATGCTAGGTAAATTAGGGGTCGAGTTATAGAGCGGAAAATAAATTACATATGAAACCATAGTATCCCCGCCGACTTCGTCGCGGGGGATACAATAATAATAATAATAATAATA